CCAGTCCCAGCAGATCCATTCATGGAAGGGCCCCCCCTTCCCTCCGCGGCTGCTGGAAGGCCGTTGGGGCTCTCTCGCTCGGCCAGTCGAGCCTCCGCCGCCGCTGCCGCCCCGTTTCCTGCCGTTCTGTGCTGAGGACTTCTCGGCGCCCCCCTTCTCTCTGCGGCTGCTGGGTGGCAGAGAACCGGAGCGGGGGCGGTGGCGGCCCGACTGGCCGATCGGCCGAGCGAGAGAGCCACGAGGCCGCAGGCAGCCCGCCCCTGATCCCGCTGCCCTTAATTTCGTTCCTGCAATGTGCCGATATAACGACACCAATCTTTTAAACAAAAAAAAAGAGGAGGTGGGCTAATGGGCGTGGAAAAAGGGGGGAGGGGGGAGGGCTCAGTCACCGCGAAGCAAACAGAAAATCCTGGGATTTGAGGATTTCAGCTGATGCGGAGCAAATGAGGGAAGCCCCGGGCCAAAAGAAAGCATCGAGCCAAATGGTGTGAAACCGACGAGATGCTCCGGAGGAAAGAGAGGCTTCACCGCGCTTCATCGCGGGAAAAAGTCCCGTGAGAAATCGCCCTTGTTTTCTTTAAGCCTAGCATTAGCAGTTAAACCCTGAGTTAGAACAGATCCTGCGTAATTTCTTGGACTGAAGGAAATGGAGAAGAACAATGACTTGTAGTCTTGTAACAATGTAGCACAACTGTTTTGGTGCTCATCTCTCAACACTAAACGTACCAATGATTATTAACTAAGAGTCACCTTTAAAAGGGCTGGCCACGTGCATTCATTTTCAGAATGGGGTGTGTGTAGGGTATTCAGTTTCATGGGATTAATTCCATCCAGGTGCATACAGCAGTCTATTGCAGAAAAAACTCATTGAGACTCTAAAGAATTCAGACTGTTCTCTGAGCCAGAGCCTACTTAATTTGATGCAACACGTTAGAGAACTCTGTCAAAATTGATTTATATACCATCTTCCATGGTCAGTACTAATTTAAAGATGGATTTGTGCTGCAAAACGTTTGCTACCTAGTGGCTTGTTTTTCATGTTGTTGCTCAACTAGTCATAGACTGATAGTGCTTTGTAACATGCCTAGGTGGGCAGCCGCATTGGTCTGAAGCAACAGAACTTTGTTCTGTAACAGGCCTGTGAATTTCCTTTGGTACATATGGTGCTAATTAACTTCTCTGCTTCAGTCTCTTCTTCAGTTCCCCATTTCGACACTAATACTTCAAAGTTATATAACATATCAGTTGTGTTACCAGTTAGTGCTAGGCGACTGACAACCTTGAACGAATCCCAGCCCATGAAGGCTATCCTCTCGTTCCCAACTGCCAGTCCAACATATGGAGAGAGAGTTGGCTTGTGGATATGGGATGCCGGGAACCCAATTCAGAGAGCCTACTACAGTGGTGGCGAACCTATGGCACGGGTGCCAGAGGTGGCACTCAGAGCCCTCTCTGTGGGCACGCGTGCCATCGCCCCAGCCAGGCCCAGACTATCATTAAAGTGTCAAATTCTCTGCCAAATAATTTTAAGTAAATGAAAGCATTTGGGATTGCTTTCCTTACTATGTTTGGATCATCTTAAGTTAATGTATGAGTTGTTTTTTTCTAAAGTAAAACCTCAGTATTCAGGATAAATTGCCGTGTTGGCACTTTGCGATAAATAAGTGGGTTTTGGGTCGCAGTTTGGGCACTCTGTCTCTAAAAGGTTCACCATCACTGGCCTAGTATATGGCTTCCCATGAGACGCATTGATCACAGATCTATGTGGAGAGCAATTTAAGAACTATCTGAACTGGGCTTCCCTTCCTAACTTGTATGTTCAACAACTGAACCAGTGTTAGATGCATTAAAAATAGGTTGCAACAAAAACATTGCAGATTTTCCTTAAACGTGTGAGTAGTTAACTGGGTCCATTTATGGTCATCAATTGATTGTGTGTCTGCCTGTAGAGCTTAGCTAAATGTCTAGCCCAGGATCCCTATGACAATTTCTACAGTGCAGTCTTAAATTACTTTGGCTGTCATGGCTTCTCCCAAAGACCTTTTAAAAAAATTATAGCATAGTGATGATTCTGAGAATTGTAGACCTGTTGCAGAATGACCACAACTCTCAGAACTACTTTTGACTTGAACTGTTTTTGTGGCCTAGGAGTAGTGAAGCAGTGGTAACACAGGATGCTAGAAACAAAATGACATCAGGATTTTGAGCACTCCCACAGGATTGTGAGCGAAGATTCTTTAAACACCTTCAGTGCAGCCATGTAGAACTTCTTCACTTTGATCTAAAGCATTGTGTTGTACTTGAAGCCATTTCCATAGGGACAAACTTTATTTTTCCTGAGTTCAGATTGGAAGCACACACTTCACTCTTGTACCTGAAAGTTTACTTTTAAGGCTGTGAGAGAAAAGTCCTTCCAATCCTTGAAGGTCCCCCCCCCCCCAAAGTTTCTACAAGAATCATTGACCTCTCTGCATGACTCTGAGTGTAGGCTGTTTGCTGCATCTCTGCATTGGAAGTGATTGAATAATCCAGTCTCTCCTCATCCAGAGGGACTGCAGAATGAGATCTTAGCAGAGAATGCTTGGAAGAAGGCAAGGTTGAATAGTGGAGACACAAGAGGTAGGCTCTTTTGGGAATATTTTAGGCTTATAGGAGATCTTAATTTTGAATGTAGTTCTTTCACTGCCAAAGACAATAGGGAACCCTAGTGTACAAGTATAGCCACAAACACCCACCAAGGGAAGACCATCTACAATTCACAACTATATGTGCTCAAAACTGCATATTGCATTCATAACCCAATATTGTGTAGACACTTATCCAACAGATTGCTCATAACAAGCATAGTTTACCAAAAGAACATATTGCAATTGATTAGAATGTATGTGAAACTCAGGCACATTTGTGAAAAATGGAATGGGTCCACTTTAAGAAACTATTGCAATTGATTTGTATATGGTTAAATGCTGCATGGCAGGTTGCCTTGTAGAGAACCCTAGGGTTCCATTGAAGCTATTGAGGTGTGTCTGTGTTATTTTGGAAATCGGGGTGAGATACATTTTTTTCTATGTTTTTGAACTGATAAATGCATTATGCAGTCAATCGGTTTTCTATGTATATTTATGATTGCTTCACAGTTCCATTTTACCATCCGCTGTTGAAGATCATTGAAATGTCTTGATTTATACCTGGGAGAGGCATCTGGCTGTTATTCTTTCCACAGTGGGAGTCTTCTGCTGCAGTTACTTTCTGTTTGGTGGTCTACGGACACTATGTATGGAATTACAGAGGATCCCTACTGTTGGTTTTGAATATGTTCTTTTTGTAGACTATGCTTAATTGTTATGAGCAATCTGTTGGATAAGTGTCTACACATTCTATTGGGTTATGACCACTAACCCTTCTTTGTATTTCAATGAATACAGTATACAGTTTTGAGCACATATAGTTGTGAATTGTAGATGGTCTTCCCTTAGTGGGTGTTGTTTGTGGCAAAAGTTCTTTCACGGCATACAAGCACGCCTTTGTACAAAGCTTAGGAATACTGATCTGGCAAAGTGGTAGGAAAATGCGTGTGTTAATACTGTAGTCACAAACCTCAAGACTACATTAATGGTGTCCGCACTTAGAGTTCACAGAGCTTCTGCAATGGACTGTTCTTGCTTAAATTTGCTGTTAGGTGGGGTGTGGCTGCAGAAGCAATAGACTCCAGTAGGTGTTAAAAAATAGAAAATAACTTTGTTATTATTATTATTCTAGGGTGGAGAAGTTGAAGTTCCAGGTGAGTACTTCCTTTTACCTCTAAAGGAAATTATTTTCCCCATCAAGGGACTTACCTGAATGTGTATGTTATGTGTCCCCATTTCTTACTGTTCCTACTGAAGGCATTCCCTTGGCCACCTGTGTGTGACGGGGTGAAATGCAGGTGTCATCTGACAGCATGACTTGTGAGTAGACGCTCCCAGGTGTAAACATGGTTTAAAAGAGTGAGGGTAGAATTTTGGGTTAGCTGTCTTTAGTCTTGTCCTGACCTGAGTAGCCCAGGCTAGCCCAATCCTTGCAGATGTCGGAAGCTAAACAGGGTTGGCTCTGGTCAGTGTTTGGATAGAAGACCACCAAGGAGTACCAGGGTTTGTACACAGAGGCAGGCAATGGCAAACCACATCTTTACGTCTCTTGCCTTGAAAAGCCTACCAGGTCACCATAAGTCAGCTGCAACTTGAAGGAGATATCTATCTATCTATCTATCTAGATATAGATATGCATACACACACACACATTCTGCTGTCCTTGGGGCATCTGCTTGGCATCAGTGTGTTCTTTTGCCCTTGTTACTGTGCCCCAGGCCCAGTTCTTAGTCCTTAAATGCAGAAAGCTTAAATTTCCTGCATTAATGCTGCATAGGCTTAGGTGCAGATCTGCTACCACACTCAAGAAGTGATGTAAGGGTTGGGTAGGATTCATGCATAAACACTTGTGAAGATATGCACTTGCGCCCAGTTCTCATTTTATTTTTTTGTGGGGTAGGTGTGTTTTAGGGGCTTAAAAAAAAAGATTTTATGTAGGAGAAAGGGAGAAGTGAAAGGGAAGAAATGTTCATTGCAGTTCTTGAAATACTGAAAGTTAAACTAGAAAAAGACTCATTAGCACAGTGGTTACAGCAGAGTTGTCACCTTAGTGGCATTAACACTGGCAAATAATCCAAGTTTTGTATTTAAGAAACTAAGCTTTCCAGAGTTATCACTTTGTGGTTGGGACAGTTCCAGGACCTCTGGTTACTATAGCAAGACAAGTAGATCTTTCATTGTTTGGATTCTAGGGGAAATTGAGGAATAGCCCCATGAAATGTGCAGACTAGTCTCAAAGGATGTTTATGAATGTATGACATGGCTGACTGGTTTCATTAGTCTGCCAGCTGTTTAAGATCCCAATCTGAGTCTTCTAACATGGGAGACAAACCCCTGGCTTGATGAACTGGGGTAATACTGTAGCAATCCTATTGATGGTGTTGGTTGTACTGCGATATCTAGGAATCCTTTCTACAAAAGAGAGCTTTTAATACACTTGGTGTAAGCTGTGCTTGTGCAGTGCAATGCTCTTATCATCTTGGCATGTGCTCTGTCTTTTGTTTAGTCCATCCCACTGGAAGAAGGGGCTCCTGAACTGTCAAAGCAATCTAAAACAGCCTCTCTCATTTGTAAGAGAAGTGGGATGGATAGACAGGAATTAGTCTGGTTTCCTGTTGAACTCTTATAGCTACCCTTGATGCTTAATGCCTTGCACACATGGGCAGCTTTATCAGCTCTGAAATAGCATACCTTTCTTTTGGCAGGCAGTTGTCATTATTCACAGTCACTTGGCCAGCTTCTTTGTAGATCTTTGTCTTCCCCTAGCAGGCTTATATATGCATGAAAACAGCTTTCAGAGATGACCTTTTAAAACAATTCTGGCAGATAGTCTTAACTGGTTCCTCTGTCTAGTGCACACCAAACACAGCTGATCTCAGAGTTTTCCATGTGTTCAGTCAAGATGAACACCTTATTAAACTGGATATAGGGCTTTCCTTCATCTTGTGGCTAACCATCCAGAAATCTGCCCATTGAAACAGATTCTAAAATCCAAGGACAGCCTGGTCTGGAAGGTTTGTGAGATCACTGAAGTGTTCATAGAACTTTTCTTTAGCATTCCCATGGAAAGCCCACTCCTGCACTACTCTTGCTCTAGAACTTATGGAAGGTGGGCAGATTTGTGGCACTACAGTCGGTTGACTAGTGGTACTCCCTCCATAGTTGAGCCCTTTACTTCCATTCCTGACATAGAAGGCCCGCGAGTGCAAAGGCTTGCTGCTCACCCATTCTCCTATCCCTCCAGTGGGGGCTGCTTCTAGGAGGGAACCAACTTCCAACCAGAAGCTCCACCAAAATATGGCCTTGCCTACTTTCATAGAACAGGGGGCAGGTGCCACATGTAGGGAACTGTTCTCAGAGGAGCCACAGACTGGCTCTTGGGCAACTGAATTTCACTGACCTAGACCCCTGGAGTTAAGTGTGAGATTGCCCTGTCAGAGTTGGTGGGTGGCAGTGGGGGGAGCTTCTCCCTGGCTCTTCTCAGTGTTTATTCTGACTTAAAGTGACAGTGACATTGGGACCCAAAGGGGGCACATCTTTAGAACCTCTCCCAATGAAGCCTTTGGGTGCATAGAACTTTCTCTCTCCTCGCAACTGGGGTGGTTAAAATATTCATGTTTTAGGGCACCTTCTAAAGACCAGAGCTGGGAAAAGTGAGGTCTTGACTCCCAAGTGTGAAGAACTGTACAAACTGCTTTATGCTACCATGGGAAGAATAAAATTGAAAACTTTTCCCCTGCCCCCCCCCCCCCCCACTAGGACCAACAACAGAAAATTGTGTTTAGAAATTTCCTGCTATTTACTGATGTGTATCTTTATTGTGGAACAAAACAGATGTGGTGCAGGAAAATCTGTGGTTGGATCTCTCCCTTTTTCTTTAATCATTAAACGCAACTGTGGAGACAACTGAAGTGGATTGTGGCTGTGTGGGGGGAGCGGTGCTTTAGCATTCTCCCCCAGATTTTCTCTATGGAAGCAAGAGGAAGAAGCTGACTGAGGTTAAAGATCAATTTGCTTTTCTGGAAGGAGGCTATTTGAAGTGCAAACGGAAGGCACTCCCAACCCCCTTGACCATTTTAGAGGTAGTCAAGAAGCTACTTGAGATGGAATGATCCTCACATGGATTGCGGCTGCAACACAGGGGAAAGAGATCATTTTTTTTTACCATTGCTGTTTCCTGATACAATATCCCACACTTACTGTTTGCTTTGTGTGGTACCTGTAAGTGTGGGATATTGTATCTGGAAACAGCAATGGTAAAAAAAATTGATCTCTTTTCCCTGTGTTGCAGCCGCAATCCATGTGTTTTCTTTTAACTTTTACAAAATGTGAGGATCATTCCAACACAAGTAGCTTCTTGACTACCTCTAAAATGGTCAAGGGGGGTTGGGAGTGCCTTCCGTTTGCACTTCAAATAGCCTCCTTCCAGAAAAGCAAATTGATCTTTAACCTCAGTCAGCTTCTTCCTCTTGCTTCCATATGCTCTGATCCTTTTTGAGCCTGAAGTCTGAATAATCACTAATAATAATTATCGTATGGCAGTGTGTATAGAATAGCCAGGAGAGCTTAGGATTGTCTGGCAGTCAGAAGTTCTAGCTTTTTTAGCATTACGGACCACTACGTGGTGAGCTAGACTTTGGTTGTTTGTTTTTTTAAGGCAAGAGACATTTCAGAGGTGGTTTTGCCATTGCCTGCCTCTGTGTCATGCCCCTGGTATTCCTTGGAGGTCGCCCTTCCAAATTCTAGCTAAGGCCAACACTGCTTAACTTCCGTGATCTGATGAGATCAGGTTAGCCTGGAAATAATCACTATTCAGAAGGGATAGAAGGAATTTACAATGGCCAACCCATTTAGACTATGTTTTTAGGATGATTAAGAGAGAAGCCTTCAGGCTTCGTGGCGGCATATCTCTTGAATTCCTAGATTCAGGTGGATAGCCATGTTGGTCTGAAGCAATAGAACAAAGCTTGAGTCTAGTGATACCTTTAAGACCAACAAACTTGAATTTTGGGTATAAGCTTTCATGTGCAAGCACACTTCTTCAGGGGGAGACGTTGGCAGGAAGGGCTAGTCAAAGTCAAGATGCATAAGTAATTGGGCAACAAGTATAGCTGAGATTAGACTAAAACAGTTAGTAAGACCTGTGAATGGCAGCAAATTAGCATACAAATAAAAGAGTTAATGAACAGATGTGAGAACTAAGTTCGAGTCCAGTGGCACCTCCAAGACCAACAAAGTTCAGTTCTGGGTATAAGTGAGAACTGAGAGACTTCGCATGTGTAGATGCACACTTCTTCAGATACAGATTTCCTCAAGCGTTACATATAGTTGTGGGTGTGTTAGTTGTCAGGAAGGGCTTGTGGCAGGCCCTATTCTACCATGCCTTCCAAGGTTTTCCTAACACCTGGAGAGGCTTTTCTCTTACTCTCTCCGCTGCCATCACCTGACCTTTGTAAGGAATCACCCACTGGGAGGGTCAGGACTCCCAGCTTCTCTTCCAAGTTCTGAGGCCTTGCCTCTGTGTCTCCCGTTGCCCAGCGCCTGATCATCACGGGGAGAGTTTACAGCATTGTGCACCCCTGGAGGAGTAGCCACCTGCCAACTGCCTGCTTTCCCCTGGTGCTTCTTTTAAGATAGCATGTCCAAGAGGGTAGAGGTCTATGTGGTACAGAGAACCACTTCCTTCATCAAAAGTTTGAAGTATTTATTAAAAATAAAATGTTTACAAGCATATTTTTAGCACAGCACCAGATTGAGCAAGGGAACCAAAAGAAATGGGTAAAATACAAATCCTCTGTCCCTCTTTCTATACATGCCCTAACAGATAGGACAGGCTCTTTTAGCTTAGGAAATTACAGATCCCTACAGAGCTTCCCCTACCTTGAAGCTTGCTCCAGCCCTTTAGGCCAGCTGTACATGGTTAAAACAGCTGCCTTTCTCAGTGGATAGATCTGCCTCCTCTCCTGGACTCAGCATCCCAAAGAAAGAGACTGCCTTCCTGCAGCAAGGTGTTTTTCACTTCTCATTCCTGACCCCCTTGACCAAGTCAGGCCAGGTCAAAGAGGCTCTTCTTGGAGATCTCCAGGATTCTCCTTCCTGAAGCCTCTCTAGTATTTCACACCTCCAAACCTCCCAGGAAAAAAGATGCATAAGG